CGCATGCTTGTTGTCTTTGAAACCACTTATTAAGCGGCACCATCATCATCACGTTCTTGGTCTTCGATGCTGTCGTGTGTTTTGCTGCAACTCGAGCAAGGATTGCAGCGTCGTCACTTCATTCTCATTGTAGCATTGAGTCGTTGTCGATGGATAAAATTCTCGCGTTTTGTACCGTTGAAGTTCCACATGTCCGCATATTTTCACTTTCACGAGCAGTCCCATCATCTCCAAACCAAATGCTAAAGCCACGTGAAAAACATTCGAAATTGTCTCACTGCTCACTTTTCGCCAGCGGTCGGCCACAACGTAAATGCTTGTAAATGCTGACCTTTGACTGGACTTCGCTGGCTTCTGACATGAGGTCAGCAAACTGTCTTCAGTGCTTCAAGGATCAATTAACCACCTTGCCGATAAAGGGTCTTCAAATTTTTTTATGCCCATGTCATGGCTGGACCAAAGCTGTGGTCTGGGAGTGGAAATTGCAGTTGGACATTCATCAGCAATTAAATGAGATGTGTGCACAACTGTCAGAACAGCAGCACTTTTTCGACTGGCGTTGTGCTCTTTGTCCCAACTCAGCCATTCTTTAAAAAGTTCAAAGGTCATCCTGTCAGGTTCAATTTTCCTTTAACCTTTCGGAACATGCAGACCTGACTCGGAACAGAGAGCTTACTAAGCTATGTTCACTATTGTGGGAGTAGACAGGATACACAAGAAGGGTATACAAAAACCCTTTATTTTTCTCTATTTACAATAACTTTCCGTACTTCGGAATACAAGACCCCCACTCGGGGGGTCTAACGAAAAAATATCAAAAAAAATAAACTAAACTCTAATTTAACTTTAGAATAATAAACGTGGAAGATTTGCCGTATATTAACAGGAAGCGTATGTAGTACAGAGACTGTGAACACTACAATACGTTTAAAATTTATCAAGAGGATTAAAACCTCTGGCCTGGAAGGCAAACCAGCAACTGCGTAAAACTTCTAAGGTAAGCGGCCTGCTTCGAACTCACTGCTTCCTCTCTCTCGCTTGGCAAAAAGCCACACTTAAATACTTGGCGTTCGCCAGACAAACTTTGCATAAATAACCTTAACGCTTATAATTCTGGCCGGAAGTAGAAAATAAGAAGTGATAGTAAAGATTTAAAATAAAAATAAACGTTAGTAAAACTTAAGATCCTTACATCCACGCATTCTGTTCGCCGATCACTGGTAACTCTCCTCCTAAGTCTTAAAGCAGCGAGGCTTAGTGCTTTTCCTAAACCAACAGCTTCATTGTCCGTTCCGGACATTTGAGCAGCACACGTCCACGCTTTTTGGAGCCAGAGAGTGCAACGTTTTGTAACTTAACGAGCCTCTGTAGCAGATAACAGCCAGTTCATTGCATTGTAGATGTTATCTGCTGAAAAATTTTCAAGAAGCTCGGGCAGTTTTGCTGATTTCATTCTTCAGTATTTGCATATAGACTTTCTTTCGCATGTGCTTTCTGGAATTTATGTCATGTCTAGATTCAATCGAGACAAACCACCGTCCGTAGCTTTGAAGTCACGTGGCCCAGCTTTTTAGCGAGTTCGTCGCTTGCATTTTAACATTGGGCGCTTACTCGCACAGATCGTCCAGAAAATGGCAAACCGTTCATTATGGCCTCATCGACATCTGGGTCTTGCTTCACTCCCAGTTGGAAGTTCCTCCCGTCCTAACATTGTGCCCATCTTCTCGCAGCTCATTCTCTTGTTTATCAAGCGCGCAATGTAGTCTTGCCGATCGGTTTTCCATCAACCGACGATTAGTGTTCGTGTTTGTCGCTTATCTTATCCAGAACATTTCTTCAGCTAACGTCAAGTCTGTCGTGGCATTTGGAGGGAGACAGACATCCAAGTTCCTGCTAAATGGTCTGAAGAAGCTTGATGCTTCAGGTTCAAGATGTTGAGGTCAGAGGGAAGAAACGCTGCGATTCAAAGCTTTGGTCTTTCTCGAAATCGGAGAAGGTCAAAGAAAGGTCACAGAAAATGGTGCGCGTGTGCACCAAGCGCTGGCCCCAGCCACCACCCCTGTTCTTATTGGTTGCCGTTTATGACGTCTGCTGAAAAGATACCATTATCTGTTTCGTTTGAATTAGTCAAGGGGAACTTATAACTACTTGGATTTGGTTATGTCCTGTGTTAATGTGAATTTGTGCGATGTAACAGAATAATTGCATTAAAACGAACCTAACAATATAAGAAAATATGTCGGCCCTTTTTATATAATTTGTTAATGCTATTTCTTCACATTGCTTTCGTCAGCAATGCAGAAATAGCACTTAACTCTTACTGTGTAAATAATGTCTGCCGCAGTTTTCAAGAATTAGCGGTTTATTTTGCAGAAAAGTGTTTTTAAAAAGTGATATAAATGTAAAAGCTAGTTATTTGCTTTATAAAATTAATTGTTTGTTAACTAAATACCTTCCTTTCATTTATTGTTTGTTATATAGAGATTGTTTGGTATTAAAATTGCTCGTAGTCAGATTAATTTTTTTCTTCTATTCTAGGCATTAATTTCTCTTCATTTATGGTTAAAAATAGATAAAGTGATAAGATATTTTAAAGCACTAATATATCGTTTTTTGACTTTGTCAATTGGATTTATCGTGCTGTTTTTTTATGCATTATTGTTTTTGTTTCTTAACTTTATATCTTATAAAAAGTGTTATTGTAAAAGTATTTTATACTTATAAAAAGTGATTACTTTTTTATCTTAAGTCAATTTTTATCTTATAAAAATGTTTATTTCAAACGATATTCATCTAATGACAAAATACTGCTAAACGGTTATCGCCCTGCACATCGATTTTCACGTTTTTTTCAATACTATGTATATTAACAGTATATTTCTGAAGCTGCTTTTTATTTTTGTAATTTTTTCCCAATACGGCAAATTATTCTATCGTCGCCAGCGCTTTGCCTGTTTCAGCGCTAAAATGACCTTGGACTCAAGCTTTTGCGCACAAATGCCGCGGAGAATTCTTTTGGTCACTGTATGACATCAGAAGTAGTGTCCAATAAGAACTTGGGGTGGTGGCTGGGGCCGGCGCTTGTTGGCACTCCCACCGGTTTGATTTGTTATCACTTTAAGGATCCTGACCTTTGATAAAGCATTTTCTGGGGAGCGCAAACAGAACCCTATGTCGCGGACCACCTGTACATCCGCTGTACGGCCGACTTGTGGCTTCTGTTTCTTATTGCTTTCAGTTTTTGGTCCAAAAGCGGAATTTTGGTCCAATAAGCGAATAATATTAAGCGAGACAACGATAGAATAGTAAAAAAAGTGAATCCTTCTGTGTCGTATTGGATGCTGCTACACTCAGCCACACAATCCGGAACTGTGCCCGACTGTTAAAATATCACACACACATATATATATTTGAACCAAAAAAGGGAGGTTCACAACTACAGTCCTATATACAACATTTCAACGTTCTGAGGCTACTCGCTTTTGAGTTATGCGAGATACGTACGTACATACGTATAGACGTCATGAAAAAAAAAAAATCTTCTGAATCTATTTTAAATCCCTTTTGAGAAAAAAAAAAGTCTTTTATTCTGTACTTACGGATGTCACGCAAAAACATAGTTAAATTGAATTCGATAGCGGCCAAAATGGATACTTTCGTTGAAATGTAATACGCGAAATGTTTCATGATTACAATACTTCCTTTGCTTCGTACAAGGAAGTAATAACAGTAATAAGAAAAATAATAAAGAAACTAATAATAATAATAAAAGAACTAAGTTACGTAAAACTTAAGTACCCGTTCTCAGATAAGGAAAATGTAATTAAATATACGTGCATTTTTATTAAATCTGTCAAGTAATAATTTGGTAGTTTATGGCAAATTTAATAAATATTTAAGATCAAAATTAATTTCTACAATCAAGCCCCAGTTTCATCAAATGAATTCACCTTTAAATTAGGAAGGATTATTCAGGATTTAGGATTTGCAATTTGAAACTGGAAGTTATTTAGGTCTTCAAACTATCTCAACAAGAATCCGTGACTTGGTAAAGAAGCATAAAATTGCGTAAATATAAATTAGTAATTAAATAGGCTTCTTTTATTCATAGTTGACCTCCTTGCTCTATGCTATTCACCCCTTCTCCAAATATCGCACATGGAAACTTTGCGGAAAAAGCAACGAAAGGAGAAATCGTCGTGAGAATCATCGCGAGACAAGAAAGCAGAGAACATCGTGGTAAAAAACATCGCCATAGAAAATAAAGCGGTTCAGAACTTCGGCAGTTTAGAATACTGTCGCAGAAAACACTGAGGTAAATAAAGAAAAGCACCTAAAAATCATATCATGATGATAACAATGCAGACGATATACATTTTCAGATTTCAAAAGTTTTAAACCCATATTTATATAACGATTTGTAAGCGGAAAAGGAATAAGAAATACTTTACTTTTGAATTAACTAGTAAATTTTACTGAAAAAGCAATAAGGAAATTTACGCATTAAAAAAACTATAAAAAAAAAAAAAAAAAAAAAAAAAACTACTATAAGCAATTAAGAGAATTTTTAACTATTAAAGGTCATTACTTAATCACCAATCTTCAATTTCTTCTATAAAATGCAATTCGTTTATCTCTTTTATAGAATCATATTAATAATTTTTCATGAAAAATTTATACAAATCTGAAATATATAGGTAAAAATGTTCCTTGTTCCTTTTTGCGCTCTTAAATTACTATGCGAATATGCACTTAAAACTTTTAAGTCTGAAAACACACGTTTGCGTTGTTATCACCCTGTGATAATTTATAGGTGCTTTATTTTTTACGCCGACGTTTTTTACAACGATGTTTTAGAACCGCAATATTTTCTTCCGTAATATTTTGTACGATGATGGTTAATCTTGCATTGTTTTCTCTTCGACATATTCTTTCATTACGTTCTTGCTGAGATGTTTTGTTGGTAACGCGTTCCATAATTATAAGGGCAATATTTTTTCTTAGCAAAAAAATAACGAAACGCAATTATGATATATTTTTTTATACCTGAGTTTTTCGAGTCCTTGCTGTAACGTGTCCACTCCGTAGCGTTGAATGTGTTGCCATAACTCAGGATTTTCTTTGTATACATAAAATTCTGCGGCACTACCTCTAGCAGTTCCCGTGCGTAAACTCAGAAGCTGAAATACAAAGAAAGTTAAAGTTGTGAAAAATTTTAATTGTCGTCATTCTAAATAATACCATTGCAAATACACTCAACTCTTTTTTACCCGGTTTTTAAATAACACGGTTCACCAACAAGAACAAATGAACTTTTTTTGAACCAATTTTTTATTCTAGCGCGAATCTCCTCCAAAAAATTACTTTTTAATTCTAATTTTGACAGTGTGATCAGAAGTCGGTCAGTTTATGCCCACACGTATGTTAGTGACTTGGTCTACTTCATCAACGAATTTGTGATGTTAAGAAATTACTAACACTAGTAATATAAAAATTGTCAGCAAAATTTATGATTATTTATTTTAATTGGAAACTAATTTTATATGAAATAACTGTCCTAAGGGGTTAAAAGCATAACACTTATTTCATTACATATATGTAGAATATCAAATGCAGAGTAATTTGATTCTTGACAGTACTGTGTTCTTAAATTTAAATATCAATGTTTTTGCAAATCATTAAATATCATTTTATCATGATGAAATTTAAATGCATATGTTTAGCTAATATAGCTTCTGTTCACTTTTTTATATGTTATTACCATGCAATCAGTTTGTTTAAAATTTGTTACGCAATATAATCTTTCTGAGAATGATAGAAACGTTTTTAAGTAATGTATTAAGATTCATATTAAGGTAATTAAATTGCGAAACCTGCAAAATGAAATTTTTAAAATGTACAGTTATTGAAGAAGCAGTAGTAATTGAATTCATATGTAGACATACATGTTTTCATTGCATTTCAATTCAATGCAATTTTAAAAACAATTTTTTTAATTATCTTTTAAATTACAATCTTTAATTTGAGTACGTGGTACCACCAAAAGCTATGTAAGTTGAATTTTTTAAATATTTTCAAAAAAAATGTGTATAACTTTATTTAAAAAACTTTTTTTTCGTCTTACTTGGAATTTTAATATTGATAGTCTTCAGAGCTATGTAATAAACATTATCTCAATTTAACTACAGATTCTGTCGAATAATTATGTAGCATTAAAGAGGAAACAATAACTGTAAAAGATTAACATACAATATGTAAGTAAGAAATAATTTTTAAGAATAGACTATTTAGTAATTTATTACATTCAGAAAAATTTTCTGACTGATATAAGGCATTTAAATGTTAGTCTAAATATTAAGTAGTCTCTTGCATTCGTTTTGATGTTTTATAATCCTGCTACATTAATATGATAGATATAAAAAAATATGCAATAATATAGAATGAGAGATAATATGTGTTCCACTGGCAAACATTTTGTTAAAGTAGTGGGTGAAACAAAAAAAATTTGATGCGGTGGTGAGAATCAACGAGAGACACAAAGACAGTGCAGAAAAATCAAAGTAAAATTTTTGCTACTTGAATTTTAAAACCAATTTTTCCTTCAAAGAAATGATTTGATTTAAAGCATCACACCATTCTCAAATAATTTGTTTGAAAATAAATACCAACAAAAGAAAATGAAAATATTTCATATCGATAAGCTTGTAAAACATTATATTGCCGCTTGATTTTGTTTCAGACTGATTTTAAGTATGAGATACCAATTTCATAGAATAGGTTTAGAAAAACGGGTGTTTAGCAAGGAAGTTAAACTGCGCGAAGACCGGTCCCCTAGCAGTGACGTAGTAATTCAGCGCGCAGGCCTTATCTATCTCGATGGTGACGGCAGGTGACGTAGATAAGGTCACGTTTATCGAGTTTAAACCTCTGATACCATTTCTTACTCTTTCGAATCGACGTAAATTAAATCACTGATCAAACTGCGATACGGACTAATCAACTGCAAGTGAAAGTAAAACCTCACCGAATTGCTCATCACTTCCCCAGTAAGCTTCGATCCAAGTTCATATTATCTCGAAAGATTTGTCAAAGAACGAATCTTATTTGTTCTTTGTTTTCATGTAGTATTTTCTTCAATTTCCTCTATAAAATGCAATTGGTGGCGAAGGTTTTAAAAACATGGCACACCGTTGACATCGAAGAATTGATGCGAGAAAGGTCCTTTAGATGAGGACTATTTGATCGAATTTATGATAATAAAGAAGTAAATAATGACGAAGTTGAAGGTGAAGTTCAGCTAGTAGCGGTTACTTTGCTATACGTATGGAACAACATTTTCTTACTCATGATCATGACATGGATCGTACATTAAAATTTCAATGTAATCGTAAGTTTTGTGTAGCTGGACTGAAGAATTTTTATAAGCAACTTGAGTGAAAAAAAAAACAAAACAGCAGAGATCGTTAATAACGAACAATATTCTTCATTTGAATCAAACCCGACAGCTGTGCTCGACATATCTGACATATCTACTGATGTCAGCTTTTTTGATACAGTTCGTAATAAACGTGCGCTCTTGTTATCAAGTAGCGATGGATAGTTACGAAATTGAGTTTTATTCCTAATTTCAGTTTAAATATTTATATGTACTTATAAGGCATTTCTCCTACTTCCCTAGCGTGCCCTCGTGGTGTAACGGTAGCACGCTGGGCCGGGTATTCCAGAGGTCGGTGGTTCCATTCCCGGCGAAGGCGGTTGCATATTTTTCATCTCTCCGGCTTTTCCAATTAACCTAATATCTCTACATACTTATGGGCTGAATTTTCACTGTGCACTAATTTAAATTTCTTTTTGTAATAAAAATGATTTTTTGTGTTTTATAAGCATGTAATATACTTGTAGATTTCATCATTACTGTTTTTGCACGGTTTTGGAGAAAATATTTAGAGTGTTTTCATTTTACACGATTTTTTAAAGTTGTGGAAGGCATCCCCAAATTTACCATGCGTTTTTTACACGATTTTCTGTGCAGGATTTTCTAAGGAACATATCTACCGTGTAAAAAACAGAGTTGGGTGCATTAGTTACCAATAAATGCTTTAATTATCCGTTAATTTTGTGATTATTTTTACAACATAAACGGCATAAATTCGCCCGGAAGACAAGTGATACAGTCAACAGTAATTAGCCTACAGTAATTACTGTTAGAAAATAATAATCAGTTTACAGTAATAATGTATAATAATTAATAAATACAGTACACAGTAACAACGAAATAATAATCAGTAATTACAGTAACAAAAACAAAGAGACAGAATTAACGGTATCAGTTAACTATCATTTGTAGTATAATTAATTAATCATCTTATAAACAGACTAATGCAATGGATGGTCTAAATGCGTATTTGGAGGCAACGCTAATCAGCTGAAGACAAATTTTTAAGTGAAGATCACACCCCTCAATCATTATCTAATCTCTCAATGTCCCATTTTCTTCGAAGAAAGATTTACTGCATTCTTTTGATAATGTATCTTTACAGTCTCCACCTTGGACTTGCTCTCTGTCACAGGGTATTTGTTCTTGTCCTTGATAAATAATCCGGGATACCCTCGGCTGAATTCTTATGTTAATTGTTATTTGTGCTCAAGTAAATCATGAAAAGAACAAAAAGAACTATGAAAGTTCAAGTATTCCAAACTAATCCGTTTGCGTATATAGAAACGGCTTGTAATGAAGGGAAGAATGAAACTAATAAAAGGTATGTTGGTGTATTTAACTATGGCAAAGCACACTAGGGATCCTTCGTGAGACTTTCTAAGGGAAACTGGCTCGTATACACGTTACACATGGGGAAACCACGAAAACCCTGCAGCCACCCCGTTTTCTGGATTCGAACCCGGACCGAACCAGTGTTCAGCGACTTTACCGCTCGGCTGCTGGTGGGCAAACTAATAAAAGGAATTAGTCCTTTGTGAGGTTTATCTATTTATTTTTAACTAATAGTTCATTTTAAGTTAACACTTTCCTATTACTTTCTTTTCACCCACGCTTTTCATGTCAGAATGTAAATAAGACGGCGAGAGTTTATTCAGATTAAGGTAGAAAGAAGTGGTATTTAAGCAAGTGTTTCGAAAGTTAGTTTTAGAGTGTGTCTTCCAATTCCAACCCACGTTGTGCCGTGATTATTAGTGAATTGATTTAGTAGCGTTGAGTGCTTCTAGCCACTTAGCTTTGTCTCGCCGGTTTTCTACAAACCAGAGCCTAGCCTTTGCGTTAAATTATCTTGTGAGCTGTCAGGCTAATTTAAAACAGACTACATCTACAGAGGGAAATTTTTTTGTCTAAATTCCTTGAGCTACTAAGTCTGTCAGTGCAGTCACTGCAGATGACATAATTTGCATCCAATAGAAGACCTCCATCAATCTCGCAACAAACACAATAATTAAAAAAGTTTTCAATGAATTTATTTTTCACGGCTTTTTTTTAAAAATAAGTTGTAATAATAATAATAATAACAGTAATAATAAAAAGAAGACCGAATAGGAGACGGAAACTAACAGTGTTTAAAAATGGCAATAAAATGTAAAAAGTGCAATATACGAAAAATAAATAAAAGTAGTAAAATTAAAAAAAAAAATAATGAAGCAGAAAACGAAATCAGTTAATTGCGAAATGTAATGCACTATACATCCATATTTAATCGTTACATAAAATAAGAAAATAAATCAATGCTTCATATTTAGTAAGTACACTGGTGCGCAAAAATTAAGGACGAGACGGTTTTTTTCAATATAACTTTGTACAAAAGCTTTCCAAATCAACACATTTAATACCGTAAGATCCCCAATACGTAAGGACATGAGTATGTAAGCAACACTTACTAAAAGAGAAGAGAAATCAGAGGGATAAAAAGAAGCTTTATTGAAAAAGTAGCATGGAGCGCAATGCGACTGAGGCCGAAACATCCCTGTGATGGGTGTCCAGCAAGAAACATCCGGTCTTTAATAGGGGATATGATCTCCCCTGACTGCTAGGCAGGTTTCACAGCGTCTGCCCATGCTGAGAATGATGAGGGTGTCAATGAGTTGTTGAGGCATTGCTGCCCATTCGTCTTGCAGCGCCAATCGAAGCTCCGGAATCATTACTGGTGGTAAGGTACGAGCTGCCCAGCGTCTGCCT